CGAGAATCATCCCCCCGGGTGTTTCGGGTTTTGTTAAACCCTCTACTCGCCGCCCCCCTCCGGAGGGTTGACAGTTAATTATTCGTTAGTCGGTTCTTCGAGCCGTGGCTGGATGCTACAGTGAGTTTTAGTACGGAATTATTCGAACGGATGTTATTTTTGAAGAAAGAGTCTCACCCCTTTGGTGGTTCTGGGATACTTTTATTACTGCGTCGACCCTCTTCACAGCTTGGTAATTATTTATTATTTACCTGGGACTTTGGCATCGGGCGCGGAGGAATTGTCAACGATTAATTACTAGAATGACCCTTTTTTGTAATTTAAGAACCACCCCCTGTATATCTCGCGTCGTATCCTTAATTCTTTCAGCCCTCTCGATGGTTCAATAATTGATTACTCGTTAATAGTACCTTCGTAATTCATCATTAGAGTATTCCCAGCTATCATTCCCTTTCTACAGTTAAATCATTGGTAACATTCTAACGAACTATTCACCACAAAGCAATCTACAGAGAAACTCGTTCGATCCACAAAGATCCCCTGGCAAAAAAACAAAATTCCAAAGCTCAGACTTTATCTATAGCTTCGAACGTATCAAACCCATGGTTCCAGGAGTCCCATTGAATCCTCTGTTCGATCGAAAACGAAAACGGTGCGTGCGTTCCGTGCGTCCTCGAGGATTTCGGGTGCGCGCAGGTTAGGCCCGTATAAAGGGTTACTCAGCCAAGAGCACGCGGATTAAATGATTAAAAAAAGGAAATAAAGAAAAAAAAACGGGGAAAGAGAGAGCGAGAGAACGAGAGAGCAAGATGGAAGAATGAGTGAAGAGGGCGAGCTGAAATACGGGGCCTGCTTTTCAGGATCCGGCCTTTTTGAAAATTTCAAACTACCGGGGCCCCGTTTCCATCCGACCTTTCCCCTCCTGCGTTCGTCGCGCGAGTTTCAAGAACCACGAATAAAAGGGTTCTGGCTCTGTGAAAGGTGGATCCCGCGTTAAGGGTAGGAAAAGAGAGAGAGACGGGAGGAGGGGCGGCGGGCCTGGTGCGTGTGTCGTCCCCGTGAGTTTCTCATATTTTTTAAGATTTGCCCCCTTAAGCCGTGTCACGTTTCTCGTATTATTCGTGCCGGTTAGAAAACCGGACCGGCGTTTTTGAGCTGCCGTGTGGGTGGCGCGCCCCCTCCCCTTCGCTCTTCGTCCTAGAACCACTTTGAATGGTAACTCGTGTATCCGAAACTCGCGATCCGATCACAATGACCGGGACATTAATCCTTCGCGTGGCCCCTTTCAGCTATTGATCGCGCAACTTTTTCGTCGCGACACGCGTGTGTGCTCGCTTCCAATGCTCGGAGATTCTCCTTTGTTTATTTCTCCTCGATGGATTTAGCGTTATTCGATTTATAGAAATTCGGTTACTCGGAAAGAGACAAAAGAGGGAAATAGCTGCGAATCTTTCTACAGAAATCTTTCGGTGATGATCTAGTTCAATTTAATGGAAATTATCTGCGTTAATCGTTACTAAGCTCATGTAATATTTTACTATCGACAATTTGTAAGAAATACAGAATTTTCCATTCTACTGCAGGTGGAAATTTCATTTGAAGATAATACATTTATAATAGGAAAATAGTCTGCTTTGATGCATGGGTAATGAACAACATTGATTCTTGTTAAATTAGTTTAGAAATCATCACGAGTCCCACTCGTCATTGTACGGCAAGGGGTTAACACGTTGACTGCTACAGAAACCAGCGTTTTGTATCACTCAATCTTTCTGTAAGATAAACAATTATTAATTATTGAGAATGACAATATTCCGTTATTATCTAGTTCTCTGCTCGACACTTTTATTCGAGTCATCTTACAGGTTATAATTATTTTCTTATAATTTGGAAACGGTCACCGGTGGCCGCCGTGGCAGTCAACGTAATGGCACCAGTAAATTGAAACTAAAGTGATGCCTTGTTAAATATCGCTACAATTCACCGTCTGTTGTGTCCGTTGAAGACTTTGTACGCCGTAATTGCCGGGACTTGCCAGGAACAGCCCGAAATGCTGGAACAAACGACTCTAGGAATAGCGAGCACGGATAAATAACCACGAGGACGGACGATTTACGAAAGAATATGCATCATTGTAGCTTTTAACGAGTTCCAAGGCCAGGTTCCGTTCGACAGCCGGTACCGCGGCGGTTTTGGCACGCTTCCTGCGACGCGGCCCGCATAATTAGGCGTCAACAAAATGTCTGACGTTCCCGGATACGAGGGGACGGAATCATGGACTCCCGTGATGCAGGCGTGGACCAACGTGTTTATTCTTAATTAATACGGCCCGATCGAGCCTTGACCTCGCCTCATCTCTCTCCTCTTTCTCTTTTTTACCTCTGCCCGCGCCGCGTTTCTCGCTCTCGCTCTTCCTCTTTCCGCGCTGCGACAAGAAACGCGGCTGTAAATTCGCGCGTATCACAATTTCCTCGTCGCGACTCGCCACTCGGAAGAAGGTGGCTCTAACGAGCGGCACAAAACACGCAGCTGCGTTACATAATTACCGCACACCGGAGGATAGATTAATAGCCATAACTGAACGTTACGCAATAATACGCGAGACCGTTCCCGCTTCAGCTGAATCGGATTATTAATTTAAACATCCAGGACGAGCCGCGAATTTCGTTAGTCGGTCACGCGATCACGGATGTTTCCCGATGATCTCGGTACCTTCCATCGGCAATCTGCAATTAGAACGAGAAACCATTGGAACAAACAGTTGCATATTAACGTTTCAAAACATTTACCAACATTCTCATCGATTCACCATCGTTCCAGATTCAATCCTCAACATCGATAATTCTAACAAAAATCACCACATTCATCTACCATTCTTATCCCTCTGATTCCAACCTCCAAACCGATCCCAGTTTCCCATAAACTTTTCCTACAATCACTACACATCAACTTCCCAACCCATCTATCCGAGAAATTAAACAATCGACACACAGACGAGCGCAGTATCGTAGATTCAAAAATGTGCTTCGAACCGTCCGCATACCGATAAAATGGAACGATCCGGCTGAATAGAACATTGTGCAACACTCGAACCGAAGAAACGTCCGGGTTTCTCGCGGATTCCCCGATAGTTTGCGGAACATAATGCCGGAGCATAATGCTCGGGGCCTCTCCCTCGCAACCTTTACCATTTCGTCTCTTTTCCCCGTGTTCCTTTTTCTTTCGTTTCGGCCCG